GCTCTTTAGAAAGCATCACTAAGAACACAAAAAGGCAAGACACAGACTGGAAGAAAATACTGCCAACACACATATCAGAAAAAGGATTTGTATCCAGAAATGCGTGCACACACACACACACACACACACACACACACGTGCATGCCCACACAGTCTTTAACCACAGCATGAGAAGACAAAAGTCCCATTTAAAAATGAGGGAAGGGACTTCCCTGGTGGCGCAGTGGTTAAGAATCCGCCTGCCAATGCAGGGGACGCAGGTTCGAGCCCTGGTCCGGGAAGATCCCACATGCCGTGGAGCAGCTAAGCCCGTGTGCCACAACTACTGAGCCTGCACTCTAGAGCCCACAAGCCACAACTACTGAGCCCACACGCTGCAACTACTGAGCCCGCGCACCTAGAGCCGGTGCTCCGAAACAAGAGAAGCCACCGCAATGAGAAGCCCACGCACCACTACGAAGAGTAGCCCTCGCTCGCCGCAACCAGAGCAAGCCCACGCACAGCAACGAAGAGCCAATGCAGCAAAAAATAGATAAATAAATGTATGTTAAGTTTAATACATAGCGAGACGGATACCTGTATATACCAGCTCTGTCCACTGAGAGGGCTTAGAAGCACTTACAACTCAGAAGCAACAAGCACACCTAGTGCCCAGATCTTGTTTCTAAATTCCATTGTTCAATGAAAGGAACAGGATTCCTAGGAGAAATGGCTGATTCTAGGGCTGAGACAGGGAAAATACCTGATGAGTCCAGATCACATAGTGCCAGAAATTAAGAGCTTGCTTTAAAAAACAAACGAACAAAAAGGAGATGAGGGCATGTCAAAAGGACACAGAACCCATCCTGAGAGAGCTCTCAATGCCACAGTTGAAGCAAGGAAATAAAGAACATCGTATCAGATTGTAACCTAAAGTATAAAATAAATAGATACAAATCCATACTGATAATTAAACGACTGAATAAAAAAATGCGTGGAGGGAAGAAGGGACAAATCTTCCTCACAAAGTACCCAAATAATGTGTGTAGATAGTCTCCCTTCCAGGAGGTGGAGCTTCAGTCCCCTCCTCTGGAGTGGAGGCTGGGCTTAGAATCTGGCTTTCAAAAAATTGAGCAGGGAAAGGGAACTCTAGAGTGCATAAACCTGGGAGACATCACCTTCACCTAGTGATCAAGGTTACTATCAACAGTGATTAGTCATAGTGATTTAAAAATAGGAAAGAATGAAAAACTGTCAAAGATCAGAGAAGCCTAGGAAGTCATGACGACTAAAACCAGTGTGGTGTTCTAGACTGGATACTGGAAGAAAAAAAGACATTAGAATCCAGTCTAATCACAACAAAACATCAGACAAACCCCAATCAAGGGATATTATATAAAACAGCTGACCCAGTAATCCTTAAAACTGTCAAAAGTCATCAAAAAAATCAAAGTCTGAGGAATTTTCACAACCAAGAAAAGTCTAAGGAAGCATAGCTACTAAAAGCAGTATGGTTTCCTGGATGAGATCCTGGAACAGAAAAGGGACATTAGATAAAAATTAAGGAAATCTGAATAAAGCATGGACTTTAGTTAATGATGACTTATCAATACAGGTTCAATAATTATGACAAATGTACCATACTAAGGTAAGATGTTAATAATGGGAGAAACTGGATGTGGGGTTTACAGGGTAACTCTCTGTACCATCTTTGTAATAATTCTATAAATCTAAAACTGTTGTAAAATAAAAATGACATAGTGGAAACACTGGTGAAACCTGAATAAAATCCACAGTTAATAGTAATGTATCAATGTTAATTCCCTGGTTTGACGATATACCAAGTTGTATGTACCATGTCAAATGTAACATGGCTATACAAGAAGTTAACATTAAAAGAAACTGGATGAAAGGTGTATGGAACCTTTCTGAACAACCTTTACAAGTTTTCTGTAAATCTAAATAGAGTTTTTCTTTTCCTAATGGGCAAAAATATTTAAAATTACACCTCTTAAAAGATAACCAATAAAGATATGAAAAATTATCATAATAGAAATACAATTATAAACCAAACTAAGAAAGCACTATATACCCAATAGCTAAAATTAAAAAGACCTACCTCTTAAATGAAATGCACAAATCCCTGAAAGACACAAGCAACCAAAGCCTACTCAAGAAGCACCTAACTTCAGTAACACCTCAACTATTAAAGAATTGAATTCCTAACTCAAAGCCCACAAAGACGACTCCACATCTGGGCCCACCAAGGCCCAGATGGCTTCACAGGTAAATTCTACCAACCTTTAAGAAATAATTCCAATTGTACACTTACTCTTCCAGAAAATAGAGGAAACACTTCCCAATTCACTTGTTGTGACCAACATTACCCCAACAAAACCAAACAACGAGCTGGCAAGAAAACAAAACTTCAGATCAATATTCCATCTTAATATAGATGCAAAAATCCTTTACAAAATTTTAGCACATTGAATCTAGAAATATACATAAAAAGAATAATTCATCATGAACAAGAGGGGCTTTCCATAGCAATCCTAAGTTGGATGAACATTCAAAAATCAATCAATGTACTTCACTATCATAACACAAGAGAAAAACATAAAATTATCTCAACAGATACAAGGAAAGGCAATTTGACAAAATCCAAAACATTTAAGCAAAAATTCAAAATGACAACAGCAGAAATTTCCTAAAAAACATAATGCCAAAAAATTATGTTGGACATTGACGAGAAGATGTCAAAGTTTCGAAAGTCATCAAGTATGAACCCCATTTCTTCTAAACAGTTAATTACATTTGATCTTAGAAGGTAATCTGATTTCTTTACACATCAAATATGCCTTCTGACTGTATTTATACTTAGACTAAAATTAATTCTTATATATTGAAAATGCTTGGGTTGAAGTATAATGACCTTGGGCCAATTTGGAAAGGGAATGAAGAAAAAAATATAATAGTAAGGGCTTCTAATTTCCTACAGGTAAACCTTACAGTAGATAACAAACAAGTACCTGGTATTACCCTCTGAAAGGAGACAAGGAAACCAACATTTCTGTCTCCATTTGTCAATGATCATGGGAAAGTTGCTTACTTTCTTTAGGTCTCATTTTCCTGTTATTTTAAAAAGAGATTACACTAGATTCATCCTTAAATTCATCAAATATTTATTGAGCTCCTACTGTGTGTCAAACACTTTTCTAGACACTGGGAAATACAGCCGTGAGGAAAAAAAAAATAGACAAAAATCCCTCTCCTCACAGAGTTTAGAGAGACAGACAAATAAAATACGTATGTGAAGTGTATAGCATGTTAAAGGGTAATAAATACTATGGAGAAAAACAAAACAGGGAAGGGGACAGAAGGTACTGAAGGGAGTGTGGTTTTAAGTGAGGTTATAAGGGAACTAGATTTCTAGGTTCACTTTCAGTTCAAAAATCCAGTGATTTTCTTATATGTTGACTAGGCCGCATAAAAACACACAGTGAACCTCTGAACTTGACCTCTTTAAACTCATACATTCTATCACCTTGCTCTGCGTGTCACCACTTATATTTTAGAAAAATAGGATTAAACATACATTTTTCCATACTGAGACAAAACATATGCTGTCACTTAATGAAATAAGTAATTTCCCAGTCTTGCCTTGAGAGAGGAAAATAAGAAAAAACCTAGCAGTTTCTCCCCAAAGGCTCTAAAAATGTGGTATTTTTGTACACTACAGAAAGGATTAAAATTAGCTATTTTTTCTCCTCCTCCAATATATCTGTGGCCTGGAGCGCTGTCCTTTACTGGACCTAAGTTACAAAAGGAGGTGGTTTAATAGCTTCTCCAAAGTGGAAGATTTTCCACAGGTGTGAAAAGTCGTATGAATAAAAAGTGTCACTACCATAGTTATTGCAGCTACCATATTTTGTACGCCTGCTATGTGCCAGGTACAGCACTAGCCATTTTACATATTAGACTGAACTATATGACACTGCCATTTATAGGTCAAAGTCAGCAGTTTTATATAGATTAAATACTTTATCATCCATTAATTTCAAATTCCACGAGAGAGAAGTCTGTATAGGTTAATTGCAATGTTGCTTTCTATAGTTCATCCACTGAATTATTATCTCAGACAAATCTTACAGATAATGGAACTTTTGTTTGGGGACATAAAGACCTTCTGCCAAGTTGACAGTGCTGTGAACGACAGCTAGAAGATACTGCCTATCTATGGTATCGAGTTTGTGCAAACAAATACTTAAAATTTTTCACTTCGGACTTAATTTGAGGATTTGAGTTTTAAGTATCATTATCTATAGCACAAATTTCATCAAAAGCTATCATTAGCACTGTGACTTCATTTTGAGAAAAGTTCCAGTTATTAGTTATACACACTATTCTGCTTAAAAAGACAGAATCTTCGTTCCAAAATTAATATATTTTTCCCCGCTAGGAAGAATATAAAGCAACCCCAAAATTATACTAATATCTTAAATCTGTCCATTTGGATTGGAATTTCTATTTCTTTGGAAATACCTCATTAAAAGAGTCTTTCCCCAAAGAGAACACTGTCCATAAACTAACCTATTAAATTCAATCCAAATAATTTTAAATTCATCTTTTAAAAGCAGATCAGTATCTACAGTTTATTATTTTTTTTCTTCTGGCAGCTATTTTTCATTCACTATACAGTTTATGTCTAGAGTTCACATTTATAAGATATTAATAAAATAGCTTTTGATTATCTTCTAAGTAATTGTATGTAATCTAAAGTTTCAACTAGCATAAAAAGGCAGGCACTTTGTATGTTACACTATTAGCAGATGGGAAAGTTTATTTATAACATTTAAATGCCAACAGAAGTCTCAGTGAAACATTAAGAGGAAAAAATAAAAAGAAAGAAAAAACTACCTGAAGTTTTTTTGGGGAAAAAAGAGGGAAATAAATACAAGAAGAATACGGTGATCACATTTAGAAATCAAGGAATTTAAATAGGTTAATATATAAAAACCTACCAGCTCATTGCTTGTAGATGTGAGTCTTAGTTTTTCTTCAATTTCCTTTCCAATTTTCTGAACAGTTACCTGAGTCTGTTTAATTGCACACTGGGCTCTATGAAGCCTAGAAATAAAAGTTGTAGAAAAATTTAAGTGAGTTAACTATAAACTCAACACAGAGCCACGGGCATAAATGGAACAAAATGAGGACAAAGTTTCCAGGATAAAGAGAATTAATAATGAACTCAACTGATGATTTCACAATTCTCTAGCATATTTACAACAAGGAAATGACAAGAGTCACGATATGTTCTAAAAACACCCTTTCTATACCCATCTGACTGTCTGTGATGTATTGAGAGCTAAAATGAAGAACTCACAGGAATCTGAAAGAGACCTTAGAAAATAATCTGACTGAACCCTATCATTCTACAGGTGGGAAACTGAGGCCCAGAGAAATTAGCTACATTACTAAAGTCACCAAAAAAACCCACTGCTATGAAGGCTATTACTTGTTGGGTATCCACAAAGAAAAAAAAAATTAACAATAATCCCAAGTTAAGAAGACTGAATTAAAGCAGCAGCCCCTTTGAAACAAGGAGCACTGAAAAAATTAACTAGTTTTCTTTTTTGCTTTAATTATGGGTTTGTGTTTTTCTTTGTCTCTTTGTCTTCAAGTATAGCTTATATATTTTGTATACATGTACATACTAAAAATGGTCAAATTGTCTTTATTCACAGGTAACATGATTTTCATGTAGAAAATCATTAGGAATCCACAAAACAACTACTAGAACTAATAATGTCACAGGATACAAGGTCAACAAACACTCAGTTATATTTCTATATATGGGTCAATAATTTCACAGTCACAATCCCAATCCCAACAGGCTTTGTTTTTGTGTGTATGTGTGCTTCTTTTTGTAGAAATTAAGAAGTTGATACTATAAATTATACAGAAAAACAAAGAATCTAGAAGAGATAAACCAATCTTTAAATCTGCCAGATTTCAAGACTTCCTTTTTTATAAAGCTACGTAATCAAAACAATCTGGTACTGGCAAAAGGATCAAAAAACAGATCAATGGAACAGAATAAAGAGTATAGAAACAGACCTACATATATATGGCCAACTGATTTTGGACAAAGGAACCTAGGCAAATTAATGGAAAAAGGAAAGTTTTTTAAACAAATGGTGCTGGAACAGTGGGTAAACACAGTTGCCGTGAGATAGGGAATGAATCTCATTCCCTACCTCACAGCAGAAAAAAAATTAATTCAAGGAGATCATAGTAAACATAAAAGCTAGAGTCATAAATCTGTAGAGGAAAACACAGAATCTTTTGCAACCTTGGGGTAGGCAAATATTTCTTAGAGAAGACACAAAAAGCACTAACCTTAAAATTAAAAATGGATAAATTAGTCACTGCCGAAATAAAAAATGTCTTTTCATCTAAAGATGTTGTTAAGAAAATATAAAAGCAGTCCATGGACTGGGAGAAAATATTTGTAAAACATTAATTCGACAAAGTACTGTGCCTGGAGTATATAAAGAACTCATACAAACCAAGAACAAAGAGACAACCCAATTAAAAATGGGCAGAAGAGTGAAACACTTCACAAAAGAAGATATAAGAAAGGTCAATAAGCATAGGAAAAGGTGCTCAAAATCTTAGTCATCATGGTAATGAAAATTAAAATCGTAATGAGACAGCATTTCACACTTGTTAGAATAACTAAAATTGAAATGACAACACCTGATGCTAGCAAGGATGTGCAGCAACTGAAACTTGCATGCATCGGTGATAAAAGTATAAAACAGTATCATCACTTTGGAAAACTGTTTCTTGTAAAGTTATACATACATCTAACCTATGACCCAGTATTTCTACTCCTTACCATTTACTCAAGAAATACAAAAACACGTCCACAAGAAGATATGTATAAGAACGTTCATAGAAAACAATCCAAACGTCCATCAAACAGGAGAATTAATAAGCAAATTGTGGTACATTCATACAGCGAAATTCTACTCGGCAATAAAAAGGAACACAACACTGATATACACAACAATATGAATGAATCTCAAAAAAACATTATGCTGAGTGAAAAAAGCCAGGAACGAAAAAGTACATACTATATGATTCCATGTAAACAAAGTTCAAGAACAGGTAAAAGCAATGTATGGTGACAGAAATCAAGAGTGGCTAGCTGCCTGGGTGAGGCAGGACTGACTGGTAGAGAGCAAGGCGAACTAAGGAACTACCTGAGGTGATGGAAATGTTCCATGTCTTGATTGGGGTGAGGCGCACAGGAGGATACACAGAATTTAAACTTGAAATCTAAGTATTTCACGGTATGTAAATTTTACTTCCGATTTTTAAAACTGGTCAACTGTCCTAAACTGAAAGTTATCCTATATATGAGGAAGTTAATTTTATCAGGGAGTTGATGGCATCAACACCTCTGCCAACATTATTATTACGGCACCTTGCACTAAAAATATTCATGACATATTCTGCACTTTCAGAAGTTGCCTGATAGTTACTGAGGATTTCTTAGGTCATCTAAAAAGGAGCAAATCTTATGAGATTCCTCATGAGAGCAGTTCTTCTGCAACTTCCTCAGGACTCCAAAGGAATCCAATAGAGGAGATTATCCTCCATCCTATTGCCTCCTGCTCTGGGTGTGAATTCGTACACACTCTCTTGATGGCAATATTCGCCTACAAAGGTGATGCTAAAGAAATTTAAAAGCAAGGAGAGGACCTTTGTGATGAGGTCCCCACCTCGTTTCTGATATGCTTACTTTGCACGCGCAATTCCAGCAATGCTGAACTACTAACAACTCTCCCCAAACACGTCATGCCATTTCTTCCTTCTGCACCTTTCAGTGAGCTGTTCTATCTGACTACAAGCTTCACTCGCTCTTAACAGATAAGTATACTCCCAAACCCACTAACAGGCAGCTCAAGCATACCTTCTTCTTCAAAGGCCTTCCCGACTGTTCCAGACAGGTAGAGGCACTTCTTCCTATGGAGATCCACAGCATCACGTATACAACAACACTAACAAAGATGACAGAACCACATTTTACAGCAACTGCCTGTTTCCTTGTCTATTTCTTTACTAGATTCTGGGAAAAAAGAAAAAAAACACTCATTTTTTTCATTTACATTCCCAGTACTTAGCAGAGAATGTGGCACAAAGGCACTCAAAATATACTGCTGACTGAAGGTCGACTAATGCCTGCATATAAAAGTACAGTCCCAAGATTTTTACTGATATCAGTGAAAGACTAAAAGACTAACGTACTAGCTTTCTATATCTATAATTTCAAAATATATTCGAAAGAAAAATCACATAAATTAAAGACCGTTCACTCTGGCAAGAAACAAGCAATTTCTACTAAAAATGTTATCAGAATTCTAATTTGATAGGCATTATCAACCCAAAGTAGAAATCAACAAAATAGCCTGTTACTTTGAAAGGAGGGAAAATGCTGCCTAAAACTCACTAGAGTACTATGCAAACAACCTTGTCAAATGGTAAAGACTCTAAAAATAAAAATGATTCATGACCATAATTAATGTATGACTTCAACTATTTGGCTCTCACTGCCCCAGACGCTTTCTGATCTTACCTTAGGGGCTTAAAACACACAGACAGAGTCACATTTCCTCCAATCTTCAGTGTTATCCAAATAGACTTTCAGAGCCCCTGCTACATCAAGACAGAGCTAATAACGTCCCCCTTTCAAGCTCAACAGGAGAATAAAAGTTTGAAGTGTTTAGGCTTTTAAACATAACATGGGACATCCTAATTCCCCTGGGGGTGAAGAGGTGAAGGGCTGACAAGAAAAGAAACAACTGCCTTACCTCCAAACCAGCTAGCCAGTTTCAGAGGAATGTTTCTTGATTTTGCAAACTATGAAATGGTACTATAAAGAAACATAAATCATCCAGTCATCTGGGTGATTAGTCAAAACCAACACTAACACCCTCAAGCTGAAATAAAACTCATCATCACTGGTGTGGGGAGGATCAACTAGCTATCTGATAGGTATTCTGGTTATAGCAAATTCATGCATATTGGATCAATATGTTTTGAGATAACAGTAAAATTGAAAGTGGGTTAAAAATAATGCTTTGCAGCTAGATATTGCTGTGAATGTAAAGATACACTGAACAAAAAGTATTATGTCAAATGAATATTGAGACCATACCTATCAGATATTAATAATAATCTCAGTAAAGGAGAAGTGAGGAAACAATTTTTGCCTACTTAGTATTGATCGTATCACATCTGAATGCTGCATTCAATTTTAAGATGATGAATAACAAATTAGAGCACCTAGAAAGTCAGTGAAGTATAGCTCCCTATGGCTTGCAGGGAGAGATTAAAAGGGAAAAGAATATATAGGAAAAAATAGGATTCTATTGAGAGAAATAGATACCTTATCATTAATGAGTTTGTATTCCATATGAAGGAGCTTAGATTTTTATTCTGAAGGTATTAGGAAACCATTAAAAAGTTTTAAGCCAAGAAAGATTTAATGACATTTGCACTTTCTTCCTGTAATTAGGTGACTGGGATACAGAGAAACAAGACTGTAAACAGGAAGGCTAGTATAGGGTTATTTTAACAGTCCTAGCAAAAGTTTAGGCATTGTCTTAAATTAAAATAGGAACAGAAAGGATGATGTAGATGTGAAAAGTTAGAGAGGACATATAAAAAATGATGCCTGAAAATTACCAACATCAAGAACGCAAGACAAGACATCACCACAGATCCTATGGACATTTAAAGGGAATTAAGGGAAATTATGAACAATATGTCAATAAATTTAACAACTTAGATGAAATAGTTAAGTTGCTTAAAAACCACAAGTTTCCAAACCAAACAAATGAAATAGAAAATCCGAATAGTTGTTATCAGTTAGAGAAGCTAAATTTATAATTAAAAACCTTCTCACATAAAAAACTACATTCAGATTGCTTCACTGGTGAAATACTAGTCTTAACAAAAACCTTTCAAAGAAGAAGGAACACTTTTCAGTTTGTTTTAAGAGGCCAGAATAACCTTGATACCAAAACATCACAAGAAAAGCAAATTACAGACAATAC